TGTTGGTGGATGCTCCTTCTTTTTTGGGTTGTGGATTTTTAATGTTTTTTTTTTTTTTTTTTTTTGGTAAGCATTCCTGTATAGCTGCTTTGTTGTTGATTTTTTTTTCTTTTCTTGTTCGTTTGTTTGGTTGGTGGTTTATCTTCCATCATCATCATCATCACCATCACCATCACCATCATCATCATCATTGGGTTGTTTGGTGGCTGCATTTTGGTCGAGATTTTGATTAGAGTTTCGTTTAATTTTCATCATCATTTGATTTTGGATTTCTTTTTTTGTTTTGTTTTTTGTTTTTTTGTTTTTGGTTTTTTTTCTTCTTCATTTCTCTATGTTTTGTTGCTGTGTTGGATTTGAATTTGGATAATTTTTTTCTTCGTTTCTCTTTCAGTCACTTTCTTCTGTTCATCATTTGATTATCATCCTTACCACTGTTTAGTTATCCTCTCGCTCTCTCACTTTTCGGTTATAATAATCATTAAATCATTGACGATGTCAGCAATACTCTCGTAGGTTATATACCATCCAGAAAAATTATCATCAACAAACCATCCATTGTCATTAGTAACATTGACATCAACCACATATATTGGTGACTTTTTTCGATGTTGATCATCATGTTTTATGAATGTTGATGATTTTTGAAGAGTGGTTTTATTCAAAGAAAAACAGTAAACAAACAAACGAAATTTCATCAAATAAAACTTATAAGATATGTAAACAAACATTGATGAATCCATCCATCCATTTTTACAAATTTGATTGATGTTTGTGTGTGTGTGTGGTGCGTATTTAGTTAAATCAAGATTTTGGTTCCATGAACTAATCACATCAACAATCAAATCATTGATTTCTGGATTGTGTGATATTCATTTGATTTTCTCAACCAAACACCTTGGTACCTTACACACAAATAAGGTAAGTGAATCAATTTAAGAAAATATTACCAAAATTATTAAACAAAATACATTGAAAAAATCATTATCATTGTCATATGAATGTAACTGTTTTATGATATAAGAGAATATACACACACAAACACCCCTCCATCCATCCATATAAGTGTTAAGTGTTGAGAAGATTCTTTGGATCATTTTAACACCTTTGACTTTTTAAGGGGTTTGTTTTTTTCTCTCCAGTTTTCTTCAATCTTGTATAGATGAAATATGAGATTTTGTTTGTTTTTGAACAATTCAGATTAATTTGTGTGTGTGGTGTGTGTAGGTAGGTAGGCAACAAAAGGTTAATGAAACTGTAAATTTTTTTTGTTTTAATATTCAGATTAATTTAGCTTTAAAATGTCATTGAACAAATAAAACTTGGAAAAATGAATAACATTTTTTTTGGTTTAAATGTATGTTCATAATCGATATCGATAAAAACTTAAATCGAAAAATATTAGGATTTAGTGAGAATTTTCAAGGTGAATATTCAGGACGTTTTTTGTTTTTGGTTTCCGAGTAAAATGAATTTTCTTTTTGAAGTGATTTGAAGCCAAAATCATTTTGTGCCGGTGGATCGCTATTCAAAACAGAATTGTTAATGTTTGTTTTTTTCATCATAATTTTCCAAAAAAAAACTTTTTTGAATGAAATGGATTCGCCGCACTGTTCAATTCAAATGGATAATGTTAGTTTTATTATGACTTTTTTTTGATTTGAAATTATCTATCTTATCAAGAGAAGAGAGGGGACCATATAGGAATTCATCATAATTGCAGATTGGATATGCAGATGAAAATTTACTTTGACCATCATCATCATCATCACATAACTTTTGTTTCATTGAAGCCGGCCAATATTTCAGAAAAAAAATGAACATTTTTCATCATATATTTTTTTCGAAATATTCTTTTTTTTTCTCAATTTCAATTTCTTGATTATCTAATAGATTGACTATGTGTGATGTTTGTGTGTGTATATAGCCTTCATATATTTCAATGAAAATTTTTCCCTCCTGTTTTCAAACTTGTAGCCGATTAATGTAAATGATGATGATTACAGTAGCTATCTTCTTTTTTGCGCTTGCGTTTTGTTTTCCACCATCATCATCCACTTTTTCCCCCCAGTAGTTTGAATGAATATTTTTTTAATCATTTTTATTTCAGACGAAATAATTTTTTCAATGGGGGGACAAACTTGGGAGTGATGAATAAAGAGGAGGAGAAGAATATATTGATTGTCGTCGTCCTTATACGACGTAGTCATCATCATCATCATTATCATCAGTTTTTTTTCTGGTTTTGTTCAGAAGAAGATACCATTCAACCAAAAAAAACGAAAGACAGAAACAAGTATCTCCCTCTCTCTATCATTGGTGTATATTTGGTTGTAAAAAAGCGAGAGAGAGAGGGGGAAAAGGAGGGAGGAAGGGGAAAACGAAAAAAAAGGCGTCGTCAATGATGATGTTGTTGTCAGGCGCGTCAAATACACACAGTGTAAGTGTAGATGTAATGTATATAGAAAGTGGAAAACCAAAAAGATATTCTTATGATGATCAATCCATTTTTTTTCTGTTCAACTAATAAATAGATCAAATATTATTGATTTTTTGAATGGAAACTTGTAGTTAATTTAAATAATTATTAAATAATTAAATGATTTGTATAAAAATATTGTAAAAAATTTAAACTTTTAAGTCAACAAAATTGATTTGTTTGGTTTCTCCATATTGAAACAAATGTCTTTTTACTTAGTTTGCCTTGTTGTGTGATGGTGGTGTGTGTGTCGTTTTACTGGCGGTGCCCATTTTTTTAATATCTTTGTTGATGAGCTCTATAGACAGACAAAGAAATATTTCTTTCTGAAAAAAAACGATGCGCAAGCGTCTATCATTAAGATGATGATGATGATGATGTTGGTGATGAAAAAAAACATGAATCCAGATATACTGGTAATATCTTCTTCAATCAAGTTGATTTTTTTAAGAAAGAAAAAAAACTAAAGATTTTCAAGTTTCTGAATCTCTAATTTCTTTTTTCCCCTTTTTTTTCATTCATCTAAAGTTGCCATAATGTTAATTTTGGATTCGCTGGTTTAATCTAAATCAGAATTTATCTTCCATAGTTTCTTGTCTATTAATGATGACAATCAATTTTTTCATTTGGATAACCCAATAGATATATTGACAATAACATAACATTATCAAAATGTTTGTGTTATTGCACAATACATTTTTTGCCGGTTGGGCCAATTCACCATTACACCACCTTACCCCATTCAAATTTCAATCTTATTTCATTCACAATACACATTGGATAAAGAGAGAGAAAGAGAAAGAAAATGGATTCCATTCATGAAGATGCTCAGCGCATGCTATCTCACTGAACTTGTCTTTTTTTTTTGCTGTTGTTGTTGTCGTCGTCATCAAATTTTTTTTTTATATGATGTTTTAATATATGGTGGTTATACAATTGCCTGAATGCTTGCCTGCCTGTTTATATTATTATGTGTTAAAAAAAAAAGTTTGGTATTTGTAATTTCGTAACTATAGTTATTTTGCTTGCCTTTATGCCATGGTGGTGGTTTTATTTTATTTTGGCTGGTTTGGTTGTCAAGCTTAATATTCATTTCTTTGATTATTTTATACATATAATGTAGAAATCCGGGAGGATTTGTTTTTTTTCTGTTTGGTTTTATAGTTATGGTTTGATTTGCTTTCAATAACATATAAACCGGTAGGAAAAGATATAAAGGTTGGCTCCCAAATTTAGCCCCAAACTTTATTTTTGTTGTTAAAAATGTACGTTGAAAAAAATTGAATAGAGAAAGAGAGATAGAGAACTGCAGTCAACAACACCATTTTAGATTATGATTTTCAATTTTCTGTTGATGATGATTAACAACTATGCTGACTGCATGCCTGCTTTATATTAATGAAACAAAACATAAAAAAACGGGTGGTAATGATGATGACGCCAGAAAAACGAAAAAAAAATCAAACAGACCGGTGTTTGGCCCTACCGGATAGCTTAAGCTATTGGAAAAAACCTACCGGATTAATAAATTTTTCAATTGATAATAGATAACAGAATGTAATATTTTTGTGTGTATTGAGAACGGGTTAACTATGATATTGATGATGTATTCAATATCATCATTATTCATTGCACATCCAATTTTTTTTCTGGTTGGTTACTTAATTTTCTTGACCATTATTGATTCAAATTGAAGGGGTAAATCTTGAAATGAAATTTTGATTTAATTTAAGAAAAAAAAATTTAGATCAAAATTCCTCTTATTATTCTTTTTATCACAAAGAATAATTGAAACGTTACTGAAATACATGCGCGTTTATTATTGTGTAACAATGTGTTAAATGGAAAAGATAAAATAATAATAATTTTGCTTTGCTTTCAATTTTGCTAAATTTTATTGCCCATTTACATTTGCTTAACTACGACAACAACAACGACAATCTTTTTTATTATCTTTATTTTCATTCATTTATTTCATTGTCATTCTGGTTCTTAATAATAATATTTACGCAATTTGATGATGGATTCATGGTTATAGATTTTTTTCCGTTTTTCCAAAATTGAATTTATATCATTTTGGATCACTATATGTGGCATGATTCTATTGAATCATTTGGATTCTTTTGTGGTTATTACAGTTTTTTTTGTTTACCACAAAATATATCCCGTTGTTATTTAATATGGTTAACCACCAAATGAAAAAAAACGATTCAGGTGTTTTTTTTTGTTTCTTCGTTTTTCTTCCCCAAATAATTATGTTTGGTTTGGCTACCCGATTCCACAAAAAATGATCATGTGGGTGTAAGACAAACGGAAAATAGAAAAACTAATGTTTCCGATTTGGGTTTTTCTTTTTCTTTTTCGAGTAAAAAAAATGCCATAAAAACCAGTTTCTTTTCATTTTCATTCTGAATGTCATATCTTGAAAGAAGAAGAAAGAAGCATTTAATTTTGGTTTCCAGAAAAACAGGAATTTCAATTAAAACAAAATTCTTTTCATATAGAATTGGGAAAGAAAATCCACCAAAAAAGGAGAATTGAAAACTTTTCTGTTTTGTTTTGATTCAACTTTTAATGATATTATCATCATCACGTGTGTAATTACGTTGCTAAATGGAAAAAGAATTTGATTCTTTTCAAAATTTAATTTCTTTGTCAATGAAAATCAGTTTTGGGGGAGAAAAAACATTGAATTTGAATTAAAAAAAAAAAGTTTAATGATGATAATGACTTGTGTAAAAACATTTTCAAATTTGAAAATACATTTTATAGTTTTGGCTAATGGGTTGAGTGTGTGTGTGAGAGACCGAGAATATTCTGTTCTGTGCGAAAACCCAAAAAGCAAAAAAAAAACTGGCAAATAATCAAAGTTTTTATTCAGTATTTTTTTGACGATTCTCGATTCTTGATTTTCAATGATGATGATTTTTTCATGTGTTTTTTTTGTTCACAATTCATTCAACAAGAGAAAAATGAAATTTTTATATTGATTCGCTTGTTTGTTTCTTTCTTTCTTCCAGAATTTGTTGTGTTTGTTTGTTTGTTCCAGAAGAACAGAGATTAATATTTTGCTGAATGTAATTCCATCATCATCATCATCATCGAATTTGGATCAAAAATCCCCCTCATTGATCGGTTGGTTCCCTGGTTTTCCCCCAATTTCATCCTGTGAATAATCAAAAGAAAAAAATGGCTATTAATAATTAGGATTATATTGATGATGTTTTCTGTGTGAGGGGGGGAAGGTCGATATTGAAATAATAATAATTAATCCCGAAAGAATCAAAAAAAAAATCCTTTTAAATAAACAATCCGGTCGGTGTATGTTTGTGCGTTTGTGTGGTTGAATGATTGATTGATCCAGCAGAAGAAGTCAAAGGAAAAAAATTGAATCATTTTCTTTGTGATTTTTTCGGTTTTGATTTTTGATTTTTCGGAAAAT